CAAAATACCCTTGTACCAGACCTGGTCATACCTCGTGGTATCTGTAAAGCATGCAAAAAGGACATGTTCTTCTCAAGGCTAAGCTTACTTGAGAAGTTTGGCAACTACAGCTGAATGTCAGAGTGTTTACTGGAGGAGATATTTTTTGCAAAGCACATGCCTTGCTCTCATACAGTAGGGAAATACATAACACCAAGCTGATAATATAGGGTGAGTGGATGGTACTTTAAGTAGGCTATAACTGCAGTGTAGAGAAGGACAAGTTAAACTGCAAGTTGAACAATGCTCTCTTTTCCTTTATTCATTTGTTCTCCAGTAATAGTGTCAAACAAATTCTTAGGCATTGCTTTTTGGTATCTCCCCAAACCTGGTGTGATAGGTGCCCACCTAGTCTGCCTAGTGGTTAAATCAGCCCATGGTATGCTTAACATAATGCCTAATGGTTAAACCAACCCAGGATATGCTTAACATTATGAAAGACAAAGTCAGCATTCCCTTACACAGCATCCAGATTTTGACACAACTGGAGTCATAAATGAGGCAAAACCCAAATTAATATGGATACACAATACTTGAAATTAGTTCTAGTACTCTAGCCCAAGGCTATTAAATTCCTTGTCCTGCTGGTAGTTTTCATCATTTTGGAAGACTGATGGCTAATAAAGGACTAAAGATCCAGCATGACCAGTAAATTTCTCAATCAACTTAGCCTGTCATCATTTTGTTTACAAAGAAACTTATGTTAAATTCTAGGCCTAATATATATGGAATAAATAAACCCACACCTACTGCAATAGCAGCAAACTCAATTTAAAAGAAATTGTTACTTCTCTTAAAAGCATTTATACTATGCAACTTGGTTGAAACAGAGAACTAATTCAGGAGTTCCCATGCATCACTGCTTGCATGAATTCACATAAATTTTGCATGATTTTAGCACTTGCATGCCATAACAACATCTTGGTGTATGTGCACAAAACATTTCAATCAAATGGCTGCCTATTACTTTTTTCCTCAACATCACCTTTATTTAAGGTAAAACATCACCACAGCTGTTAATAAATGCTTAATGAGTTTATATGTCTTTATCTTGAGCTTTTACATCTTATTGCCATTCTTATCCACCTCACTGCTTACCGATGCCAGTTTCTCTTCATATATTTCAGTCGTTATGGTAGCACAAAGCTGAATATTTGGCCTCAAAAGTAAAAGCATCCTGTACATATTTATACAAATGTGCACTAATCTAAACAAATAAAAAAACAAAATAAAATGAAACAAAATAATTTTTAATGTATACATGGACATCAATGACCCAGTGCTGCCCAGAAGAATTGTGGAAAAATAAAATCATTCAATAAATTCATTAAGGTCAGGAGAGAAAATGATTTCTCCAACAATATGATCATTAACATGAAAGAAATTCCAGTGTACTTTTTAATCTCATTCCTGGATGGACTGTCAATTAGATGGGAACTTAAAAGTGAGAATTAGCATGACTGGTGCAGATTAAAAAAAAAAATGACTTTAAGCCTGGCAGTTTATGCTTCATGAGATTTGTTGCCTCCAATGATAATTTTTCATGGCATGTATTTCTTGCATCAAAAGGATGGATTGTACATGTGCAGAAGGTCACTCATTATCATACATGCCAAGTGTCCTACAACTTACGATGAAAAAAAAAATTTGTGGCAGAACATTCAGTGCACATACAAAATTACTTCAAAATTTTTTTGTGTCCCAACAAATATGGTACCACAAGATATATGGTAAATACGGTAGGTGTCTGTAATTTTGTTGGAAGCAGTCATTGCTTTGATCATGGAATACAATAGTTGTTATAAATGATGCACAGTCTATAGCAGAATAATTAAAGGGATATGAATATGAATATATATTCCCTTTTTGATACTTACTGTATATTTTTTAAAATGATCTGAAACATACGACACAGCGGTTGTAGAACGTGACTAGTGTGAGGTCACGTGGTAATACAATTAGAATGATGTTATGTTGCTTTGCCCAATGATTGCCAATGATATATGTGACCTGTGCCCATCATGGAATAGTAGCAGCAGCTGCAAAGGATCATGCCTGTGTACTGAGCTATGTAGCCTCTAAAATGTTTCTCAAGATATTTCCTCTATACTTGAGCATCTGACCATCCAGTCTCACGAAAAGTACCAGAAATCCTGGTTGTTGCATCCTCAAGCAATCTATTTCTCATTCACTTTTCCGGAAAAACAAAATAGGCCAGAACAGATTAATCTTCCAACTGATAAAACAGTTACATTATATGACATTCCACTGCTAATTGCAACCAGTTTCCAGTTTTTGTCAGTGGCTATACAAGGAGGGGTGATTGTCAGAAATGCCTTTCTCATCAATGTTGTAAATGTATTGTGGATATTCTTTCAGTTTATAAGTAGTTATTATTTTCTTCAGTTCTTCAAAATATGCAGTTATTTTCTCTATAGACATAGAATTGGCATGTATGATAATGAGTGACCTTGGCATTTTAACTATTTAATTAGGCCATCACAATAAGAAGTGATACAATTGCAGTGATAGCGGGTTATCCTTCTGATGGGAGTCCAATTTCAACAGCATAGTCAGTGGCCACAAATTACATACATCAAAACATGTATAACCAACCAAAGCTACATTTGTTAAATGTGAAATGTCTGCATACCAAACTTCCTGTTCCAAGGAAAATAATGGATTTGGCACTGATTTAAGAGTATATCCACTTCACCAATGACATGTTGGTGTAAAATTTTTGAAACACTTTACAATCTTGAACCTTTTTAGCTGGCATTTTCTCCTCTTTAACATCTTTGTATGCTTTTGCTAAAGCTTCCTGGTCATAACAACAATGTTGACACAGTTTTCCACCATTGTGAAAATCATGCAAATTCCATGTATTATATTTATGACAGGTTACAAAAGTTTAATACTGTTTTCTTTATACAATTACCTAAATGTTAATGGACCAAACTATAAATATTTATCTTTAAATAAATTATATATATATATATATATATATATATATATATATATATATATATATATATATATATATATATATATATCCCTTTAATGAAAAGTGTAAAAGTTAATAAATTCAACAGCAAAATGAGAAGTGAGCGTGAAGAAGTCACCGGTTTTTTTACAGAACATATGAAACAAGTTGCACCACGAGTTTCAATTCATTGACATTATGGAAAAATAAAGGTATTTTGAGTGGGTATTTAACTATACTATGCAATCTGATGTTTTATAGTCCTTGTAAAACATGTGCATACTTACATGACTTGGATAAACTTGAAGCATTTTCTTTACTTTCAACAAAGCATCTAACTCTTGTCAACAAAACATCTGAAAATTGTGTCATCAGCTACATTATCACCTGATATCAATAAAATTAAATGGCCGCTTTGAAAAACATGGCACTCCAAAACTGATGACATAATGATATACCTTAATCACCTGCAATAAATTATCTTTTAACAAAAGCCAATTTATTTACCTGCTCAAAATAAATCTTATGTGAAAGATGAGTGTTGCTTTTAATACAGTAACAAGGGTCATTTATACAACCATTCATTCAGTAGCATCACTAGGGTTGGTGTCACCCAGTGTGGTAACTCATGGTGTCATCCCCATGAACCTAATTCCTGCACAAAAAATCCAAAAATTTAGTCATGTGCGGTAATTCCTGGTGTCACCCCCATTCGACTTCGTGCACAAAAATTAATTTTAAAAAAAATTTGAGTTTTTTGGTGTCACCCCCTCTGATGGTGTGACCTGGTGCGGTCCGCACCCTCCACCATGACGCAACTGTACACATGATCACAAGGGTTCGTTACAAAGATTTTGAGTCTAACCTGTAAAAATATTGTTGCATGTTAGACTAATGTGCCCATGACTAATACAATTATCGAAAACAGGGTGAAAATTATCCAAATTTCTATTTCTGTCGCTGTTATGTATTTTGTTTATGCTGTTTAACAACTGATATTTCTCAAACCTGGCCCGTAGAAGCGTTTCCCGAGTGTCACATCGAAAATTTTCCCATTAACTGCAATCAATATTCGCCCATCTTTTCCCTTGCCATCATATTCTCTCAACTGTTCAAGAGTCATGTCTTGACGTTTCATTTTCGGCAGTTCTGGCTCTTTAGGAGGTAAAGGTTCTGGTGATTTCCTACCCGATATAATTTTGTATAGCAAGAAACCACATATTCCTAGAAGACCTAAATTCAGAGGACTTGTAAACAGTTCAACTAAAATGTTATAGAAAATGTTTGATCCTTCTTCCGTTTTTGCGTCCATCTTCAAACTGAGTTCAGACTGGTACGGATTTCACTTACCATTGAAGCAGCTCTATTGCTAAATATCGGGGATCAGTCTACTTATATCATCGAGCAGTTCGGTAGATCTCTAGTAAACTCAAGGTTCAAGAGTCAAGAGTTCAAGATGTTATTGCGTATGCTTTAGGTGACCTCTTCATAGCAGGCTGCGCACCACAGTTAATGGAATTAGTTACTTTTTGTTGTGATGTTTACTTTGAAGCTTTGCGATGGGATTTAGGTCCATATTTCTGTACCCAGCCCAAAGCTAACCAAAAGGGGGATTTAAATCACAGCTCAAGTGAACATGGATGATAACGACCATACTTAGGTAATTTTGCCCACTGTTGTGAAATCACCAGTCATACACTCTTGTGTTGAAGCTTTTACCAGTGCTGTTAGGTAGTCAAGTTTTCTGTTGTCAGAAGTGGATGAACTTGAATGCACAGGTGCCCCCCGATGGATGGGTTTGATAAGAATTTTTTTTAGGTGTATAGCGATGTCTAGCACTTGGGGCATCATGACGCAGACATGCATGTTCCATCCAGTTACAGTATCTTGACACCAGACCGACCAGTCCTAACACTAACATCTAAATGCTGAACACCTAGCTAGTCAGTTGTTAGTACCATTGTTGAAGTCTTTGGTATGGTCCAGTCGGATTTCGAACCCGCGACCTCCCACATCTGAGGTGGACGCTCTAACCACAAGGCCACCGGAGCGGTCCAACAGGGCCTATAACTTGAAGATAAAAACGCTATGATACGTGTGATGCCGTAAAATAGAGGCAAACAAGTATACCGCGGTTTTATCCTTCAAACTCTGCCATCTTTTAAAATGTCGAGGAAAGACACACACAGTATCTTTCCTTTTATATATATATATATATATATATATATATATATATATATATATATATATATATATATATATATTGTAACGAGGAACCCCCATGGACTTTAAATTTTCGTTTCGTTGTTTAATATTTCGTTCTTTGGCGTGCTTTGTAGTGCCGTTTATTTAGTTTTGGGTCACGTGACTCCGCCTGGGTGTATATCCCGGCCATCTGTGGCTGCTGTGTTGGTGTGTTAGGAAGCAGCATAGTGTGAAGACGTCCCCTGCAGTGTAGCAGTATATCCAACCCGCCAGAGCAAGCACATTTGGTCGTATTCCGTTGGGTAGGAGAGAGAGAGAGCCATGCCAGGAATTTGAAAAGGTTAGGGACAGAGTCTTTCATCGATCAGCAGCCCGGCGCTACAAGGCTCGTCCAAGAAACGCAGAGATCTTGCGACAAGACACGTTTTAGACTGAGGATAGCTCTTCTTTCGTCATTTCGCACTGTAGTCTCTATCTATCGATCTCGAGCTGATAACGTCACGACTCTGCGACCGAGACAGCAACCCAGTCGGCGACTGCGACGCAGTCGGCGACCGGAGGGAGACCAGTCGGAGACAAGTTGGCAACTCGGCGACCCTGCGAGAAGTCGGCGACCCTGCCACTGGAACCTAGTCGGCGACAAGAAGACCCAGTAGGCGAGCGAGACTGAGACAGTCAGCGACCCTGCGATTAAGTCGCTGACCCAGTCGGCGACCCTGCGACAAGTCTGCAACCAAATCGGCGACCAAAGGAAGACAAGTCTGCAACCTTGTGACAAGTCGGCGACCTGGTCGGTGATTGCGACCGAGACAGCGACACAGTTGGCAACAGCGACATAGTTGGCGACTCTGAGACCAGTCGGCGACCCTGCGACAAGTCGGCGACTACGACCAAGTCGGCGACACACAAGAAGCCAGAAATAAGACGGTATCCCGCTGAAGTAGAAATCTGTCACACTCTGGAGTGCCAGTCATCAGGCAGATTCAGCGGGGTATAGTAGTAGACACCTGGTATATTTCTACTACTGGTATCACTCCTAATACAAGACGTATCATAAAGAACTCGAGATAGCGAGACTCAGGGAGTGTTCCGCTACAATATATGAAGATGGGATCATACCTGAAGTGCATCACATCTTGTGAAAATAAACAATTATACATAATTTTATTAAGGTAAATAGCTTTTAGGCTATTGAGCAGAGGGAAAAATGTTACTGAAATTTAAAACATTGGTCTGTGACCTTAACCGTGAACAAGCATACCCATCCGTGTACTACATGGCAAATATACAAAGTTTCATTCTCTTAGTATCAGTTAACACAAAAACTTTAAGAATAGAAAGGTAAATATGAAGAAATCATTATTTATGATATTGATCAAAGTCTTCGAAGCGATAAACCCTATGTGGTATATGACACGCCAGTTTATGATAATTCATAAAATTACCAAGTTTCCTTCCTAAAACTCGCATGTCTTGAATGTTGTCTACTAGAAAGGGGGTTGTAATGGAGACTTAAAATATTAATACACGAAACGCTTTTTAATAACGTACAAGTATACATGTAGCATTAAATTTATAATATCAACGTTGATTCCTAAAGCTCAGAGGGTTCTTTAGTTGTAAAACTGAAAGGAAAGTATGACAAAAAACTTGGACATAGGACCTTGATTTTGAAAACGGGACCACCAACAGCTGGGAAGTTTTGAACCAGAATGGAAAGTTTCACATAAAACGTAAAATATTTCGTCGTAACCTTGACCATGAAGATATGATGCCAAGTTTGTTCCGCAAACACTGCATTTAATGATGATATATACGTATACCAATTTTCACCTTTTGCTCTCAAACAAGTCTAAAGCAATATGATTGAATGGAAAATGCGAGAGACAATATAAAAATAAATTACAAGTGATATTGACTTTAAAGGTGTGATCCCAACTGGTATGCGACAAACCTTGACGTATAAGTTTGCCAATTTTCATTATCCAGTTTAAAATCAATAGAATTGAATGAAGCAGAAAGGCTATTGTTGGGAAAGCTTAAAATAATTATTTGTGACCCTGACCTTGAAGATTGGACCTCGCCCTCCACCCCCATTATGGATCGCGTCCCACATGTTATTGTTGATGTACAAGTATACGAAGTTTCATTTGATTGAAAGAGGTGAATAGAACGCGGATAATGTGGCTCGCTTTTCACGTAAAAGCAGGAGACAAAAATATAAAAAAATTAATAGAATGGTTTAAAATGTAACAAACATAAACGTATAAATTATGTTTGTGCACGTGCATCACGGTATGTGGGCCTTTTTAAATGAAAAACAACTGTCGTCGGAGTCAAACAATTGTTTCTGACAACTGAAAGCATGCTACTATTTTGATCAGCTTTAAGTGATACTTAATATTATGTGCACATAATTCTTCAAATAGTGTCTCATTTGATTAAATGTTACAAATTGTTTTCCAAACATATACTATATATGGCCGCATTTTTTAAAACACGTTTTAATATAACAATATCAGGACGTCTGTTTTTATGTAGGAGAAATGTTTTTCTGCGAAATAATAATAATGTAAAAGATTTTTAACTAATGAAAATTGTACCATGTTTTTAAAATTAAGTCTCGATCTTCAAGAATTTATGGGGCACATAAGGGAATTTAACATTATGTTATCTACTTTACGATACTTTTTTTATCGATTACCCAGTACGTACATTTTGTAAGTACTATCCAACGGCCACTTTTACGTTCTATCCAGTACCCAGATTTAGGGTATTTTTCAACACGCACTTTTTATTACCAGCCAACAGACTATTTTTAATCGCAATCTCAAACATACTTTTTGATGACTATTCAACACCTACTCTTTAGCTACTTTCCAGCACGAAATGTGTAGTGTCCCAAACCCCCAAACGTACTATCTAACGAAATAGGTAGAATGTAAAGGAGGGAAGAAATCCCACAAAAAAATACTATCACGCCACACAAAAGTGTCGTAGTGTTTATGTGCATACACCAACCACCATCACACACGAGAAAGGGGAGAAGAGGTTTTTAAGGTCTGGTTAGTTTCCATTGAAGACGTACACAAGCATAAAACAGAGTGGCAATAATTCTGAACTGTATCTCTCTTTTCTAGCAAATTTGGGAATTGCAACAACACTCCATCAGTGTCCGTAGTACCTTTCTGGTCAGGTTTATTTAACACATTTTTTATTCCATCCATCTCCCACCGAAGGAATGAAGGAGACAGTGCGCCTAAAGAGCAGCCACAGTCCCTTTGCACGTTAATTCTCCTTTCATTGACAAGGGGGAATGCCACTGTCATTTTCTGGTTCTCTCTGTCTCGCATCTCTTTATCTCATGCTGCCATTATCTTGATCGCTTACTCTTCCAGGACTTTTCTTAAAAGTTCTTTGCTTTTCCTAGCGAGATCATAGATGTTTAGTGTTGGGGTTTGACACCACTCGTCCCAGGAGATGTTCCTTGCTCAATCAAATTTTACCCGTTATCACCGTCCCGACTTGGCAATTTTAGCTAGCTCTTCTTGGCTCTTTACACGATCGACGATAAACGGCAAAAAAAGGCTTGTTCATGGATTAAAGTTGTATATGTATACTCTGCCTTCCACGACTGTTTAATGCCGGCACACGTCAAAAATCGCACCAGCTTGATATTACTAATATACACAGGGAATTCAGAGATAGCCATGACCTTAACTTTTACAGGTTTAACTTGTCCGTGTTCCACGATATCCTAGAAATATGACACAAGCACGGCAAATCTCATTTTTAATTAAATTAATTGTCAGATTTACATCACAGAGTGCACCATACAACGGTTTCCACGTGATCTTTACAGGTCTCGTATATTGTAAATGCCACAGAATAAGGCAAGAAATAACAAGGATTTGATCATTTTCGTCAACATGGGTACAACTTTACCTTGGGTGGATAATTGTTTTTCTAGATAAGTGACTGACCTAGCATGCATCGTCGTCGTTCGCTTGCGACGAGACACACAAAGCATGGCATGTACGGGTATTTTACCCGTGTTCTTTTTCCTGTAGATTTAAGGCAAGTTTCTGCTCTAATCGACACATTGGTCTTTTGAGATTTTGTCAAGGAGTGCATACTCTCTATTTCATTATACAGCCATAGGGATAAGTGCTATATTATATTTTATTTGCAAATGTGTGAAACATATTCAGTTATAATGACGCAACGGGAAAATTACCCTTATTACTACGCGGATTTGAAACGATGTGAACTTTTGAACTGTAACAAGTTGCCAAGAGTTATTTTAGTAGCATGTATGCATAAATTTTAATTCCGTACCTGTTATTGACAACCAGTTTGATTTTAATTTAGCTACGCGGATGTATCAGGCTGTCAGTCTGGCTGTTTGTCTGCTTCTATGGGGATGGAAGTATGTGCGACCATCAAGGCCATACAAGGACGGGGAAGTGCTGATCTGCGAACTTATGCGCGTTGTGGATCCACAAAGGGGATGTGTGTGAGGCTAATACAAGTGTGGGTTTACCCAAGAATTCAGGACACTGGAGCCACGTCAAAATTTCTCGGTTACAAGTATTTAAATGAGTCATACGTTGTTAAGAATCTTACATGCTGTGCAAATGACTATACGAGTCAGGAGTTGTTTGCTACAATTATCTTTATTACAATTGATCTTGTTTGTTTAAATTGATCATGATTCAATTAAGTACATGCAACATATTTCGGTTGTTTCGATTGAATACATTGAGTATAACTTGAGTTGCAGCTATTTGTATGAGATTATACGAATTTAACACAAATTTGTAGCCAGGACTACTGAGAAATTTAC